ATCTTCAAATTTCTCCCTGCAGAAAAATAAAACATGGCCGAACTTCGTTTTATTCTCGGTGGAAAATGTCTATTTTAAAGTTAGTTTGGCCATTAAAATGCGTTTTGATGTCATTTGATGCGAGAAATATGAGTTGTTATTTCAGATTATGTGTGCAGTGGATGTACATGATCTTTAGTTTGCTAATTATTACGAAGATTACTTCAGGAAATCGCGACGTTTTCATTGTTACCAAGGTGGTTGCTAGGGACGCTGCTATCGATATTATTTCTGTTATGTTGTGTAACTGTTTAATGGTGTTATCTTTATTGCTACCCCCTTCCCCGTCAATGTATAGTGTTGATCCACAGCGCAAACATATTAGTTTAACAAAATCCGCATCTAAAGATACGTTATTTTCCCCTGTGCAATTCCAGTCTCACATCTCACAGCACATCGTCATTAACAAATACCGGAAACAGACCGAAAACATTAAAAAAAATAAATAAAATGCTTTATTCCGAGTGTGCTTGATTTTCTCTTTGAAAGTCATCACATAACGGCATTGTAATACACGGTTCGGCTGCATTAAATATTACATATCTGCCGTAGTTCTGTATTTATAGAGCCCTGATGAGAAGACTTCTAGACAAACATGAGGAACTGAAAACGTGACGTGGATCATAAATATATCAGTAATTAAACAACATCTTACATTTCTTTTCACACAATACGTCTCCTTGCAGTATCAACACTAATTCGGCTGACTTTTATATTTGATCCAATTGGTAGATAGGCTGTATTTACACCATAAAGGTGCACAGCTGATATAAAGGGACACCTAGTGGTTAAAGCATGTTATTGAATTTCATTATTTTTATTATTAGATATTAATAGGATCCCTATAAAGTATATTCATTACTCGTTATTCTCTACTAATAGTTCACTAAAGACTGTATATAATTACTATTTTGCACATCCCTTTCAAGATTTCAAGATTTTCTAAGGTTTATTGACATATCATATAGGCCTACACAACTATGGTGTAGTTCTGCATTGAATGAAAAACTTGGGTCGCAGGTTCCTCAATAGCGCATTACAAGACATCTATCAATATTTGTGCATACCTCCAGCAATGTTAACTATGTTGAAGCACTTATTTTAACTGATATTATACATCATGTATTATACTCTTATAAGATGTATGTAGATATTTCATCTCCGGCCTTGTCAGGTATTGAACAATCAATAAATAAAGAACACAGAATTGTTAAATATAAAACACAGAATTTGTGTGATTATACTAAATGATTTACAAATAAACACCACTGCATAATGTACAACTGTAACACATGCTGATGTAACGCAAATGTTTCCAACCTGGGATCAATAAATTATATCTTATCTTAAGCTGATCGATGGCTACTGCCATATTTGCAAAATTTGCCTCTGAACCTTGACAAGTGCATGTTTCAGGCTTATCAATTAATGTAATGTAATGTAATGTTATCAATTAACAACAGGAGGGGTCAAAAACATAAGACCAGCTGTTAAATAAAGCTCTTCTGACCTTAGCTGGCATGTGTGTATATATATATTAATGCTGCCCATTATGGGCACAACCAATTTTCACCCATTTATTAATTATATGTTTTACATTTGAGTGTTTCCTATCCCCTAAACCTCCATGGATGTACACAGTTTAATACTGGCAACTTCTTATTATGGGAAATACGAAAACGTCTTTTAAAACTACAACTCCCAGTAGACACGTGCCATAGATAGAGAGCATGTTGCGAAACAGAATAGCCAGCATGTGTAGTTCTGGGGACGGGGTGGGGGAGGGGGTTAAAATATTTGTTTCTCCGAATCGAAGGGGAAAAATACAAAAGCATTGCACACAATTTAAACCAATCAATGTTGTGTAATTAACAAGGATAATCTGGTGTTTTTTAGTCGATGAGTAGTGCAGATATCACTGTAAAATCAATCGACAGTAAGAGGAATACTTACTTCCGGGTGTACAATTCTCCGTTATCCAATGGGAATGGACGCTCACATTGCCCTTAAGGGCAGCCGACACAAACGAATGCCGTGCTTCCCTGAGCGTCAAATACCGCCGCAGATGGGAATACATTGCAATCAGTTGAACGCTATTTGCGTCCCTTTATGACGCTGAAGGAGCCTAGGAGCGTCACAACTGGACGCCACGGACACTGACCAAACGTCGTTATTGGACGTGAGAGTGTGTTGCCAATATACATGCCATTCAACTGTATGACAAAATGGAACGCTTTCTAAAAAAAATCAAAAGATGGAGGGAGCGCATCGGGGAGGACATTTTTTTCCATGTTTCCATCAGTGGATGAGCTGGGAGATTCTGCTGGGCTCTCGCCCCCCGTAACACGCGCAATTCTTGCGCATTTGGAGGCGCTCGAGGGACAATTTGGGCACTACTTTTCTGAGGCTGACTCCTGGCGCAGGGACAAGACATGGATACTGTTTCCATTCAGAGACAACGCAGCAGACGGCACACACCTGACAGTGACAGAGGAGGATCAGCTAATCGAACTATCCACGGACAGTACGTTCAGACACATATATGACACAAAACCACTCACCCAGTTCTGGATCTCTTGCCAGAAAGACCGCAATTGGCAGGAAAAGCTATGATGAGCCTTTTGCCCTTTGCAACAACCTATCTTTGCGAAAGTGGATTTTCCTCACTCACTTACTTGAAAAACAAATACAGGTCAAGGCTGCAGCCTGAGGCTGATATGACCCTCTGCCTGACAACCTCCATCCGTCCAAAAAAATAAAAACATGAATATATTAACCTGTGTATTATTTGAATAGCTTAGTATTGAATGTACAATAACAGAGTAGCTATGTTTATACACAGCACTAGGCCCCGTTTAATATAAAACACAATTGTATGCCATACATATAGTAGGGGGATCCCTGCTCCAGCTCTCCATCAGTTTGGGGGTCCCTGGCCTGAAAAACGTTGAAGACCCCTGATCTAGAGAATTCGAACGGCACTTATCATGGCTGCCACTGAGGGACTTCCGGGTCATTTCACTCCGTTAGGAAGGTTCCTAAGCTAAATGGACTATTCGACTGCAGCCCAGCTCGAGTGCGCTAGAATTTGAAAGTGCCCCTCCCTTCAGACTTCCTTACAGAGCCCCTCCTCCAACACACATGGACGTGCACATGACCAATGAGGGCACGAGATAAGTTTGTGCACAGATGGAAGGCTGACAGGCAGGTAGGCCATCCAGTTATCTGCCGCGGGCCGAGGCAGATAATTAGGGCCCGAGCACGGAGCACTAGGACCCAACGGCGTCCTAGCACGAAGTGCGAGGAACCTATTGTTATTGGACTTGCTTTTTACAGCGCCACGGCTTCTACAGATGAACTATTTGTATATATTTATTGTCAAAGTATTTAATGTATTCATTGCTATTGGGATGTTAAGAGCATTCCATGGAATATAACAAGTGTTTCTGAAGTGAATTACCCTACCTTTAAGTATAAGATGTGAGTACCTTTTTATGATTGAAAACATTAGTTCAGAGAGAGTATGAGAGTTTGTCAGAAAGAAAGACATTTAAGTGTATTGTGCTTTTTAGTTAACTATTACATTTAAGACAAGTTTACAATTCATAATTAAATACATTATAAATTCCAATCATTCCAGGTGGTGCTTATCATAGAATATTCCTGATCGTCGGATTGGAGTTACAGGGGTTATTTCTTTCTCTGAAATTAAGCCTATACCAACTGACATGTGGGTTAGCAAGAAAATCAAATCAAAATCATGATATCAATCAATACAGACATTGACAACAATTGAATAATAAACACGCATTCTGTCAGTAGAAATAGGTCCTTTCCATGAGCAGGACACAGTAGAGGATAGGTTGTTATTCGTGTGCAGGTGGAAAGCCCCTTTCCTCAGTGGCGTTTCTTGACCGATTTCACCAAGCTGGTGCCAGTTAGTTCATGAGAGGGGCACATTTAAGGCAGGGACAAAAGAGACAAAGATAGTGTTCAAGATTTTAAATAAAAACATAAAATATCATCCACTGAAAAAACTGAACGTTGACTTTAATTAATTGTAATACGTCAACAGATTTTAACCTAATATTTTGTATTCAAACTGAATTGTATTGTTTTGTGAAATCTGTTGACATAATATATTTAATTAAAGATAATGTTTCAGTTTTTGCAGTGTGATTGGTATTTTTTTTGTAACAAAATTGGTTTCAGTAGTTAAAATCTGATTAAATTTCATTGTGAAAAACTAAATGCATTTAAGTTAACTTCGGCTAAGGTTACAACACAACAGACTTTTTGAGGAGAGCCACATGCTTATCCTGTCCTCTAATCAAACTAGTATATACATTTAAACTCTGAGATCTGAGCCTGTCTCAACAGCAACTTTACCTGCAGTGATTCCAACAATCTTCTTGATTGGAATAAACTTCCGAGATTCCCTCCCCGCTCTTTGCTCCTATGGTGATTTGACCATTTAGTAACTCTTCCATTATGAAAGAAAAACAATTGAAACAATGGTACAGGGATTATATCTGACATTGAATGGCAGAAGGCATGTCTTTCTCCCTATATTGTAATTCTAAATTAAAATGGAGCCCACCTTCTTCTCCTATAAAATGTTTGGAGTCAATCACATGTACATTTTCATTTCATAATTTTAGAAAGACATGAAATATAATATACATTTTTTAATTTAAAAACAGCACATTTATAAGTGCATAAAATCAATAAGACTGTGCGGCCTCTTCAGAATATGTTGAGCAGGGGGTTTTACCAGTAAACAGAATCCAAAATATTTGTGCATTCCTGTGTATGCTTACAGTATTATCAAGTTAACCATAAATGCTGTTAAGGGGCAGCATGTTTAAATAGCCTCAAACGTCAGTGCACAGAATCTAGGACTTTAAACTCTCCATACAAACATCTTCCTGTTCAAACAGTGACCAAAGTAAACCCCATTACCAAAGTCCATCTGTACTGAGTGAACAGAGACAGTCATCAGCATGTCAGTGAGTATCAACATTTTACTTGATTTTGCATGGACAGTAACGAAAGCCATATTAAGGGTGATGGAAAGGAACAATGTGAGGAGGTGTTAACAGTGTGTTGCACGGTGGACTTGACATTCCAAGCTTTTAATTTGTGTTAGTGTTCTGTGATCGTTCAAGTGCTGTCTGCTTTGAAAAGCATGAAATTGAACAAAAACAATCTTATCAGGGCTTCAACATGCTGTGGGGCTTGAATCAGTCCCATGGTGTGTGCTGAAACCATTGGGCTCCTGAAACATATTCCTGAAGGACATTTTACATAACATTTCATAAAGCTGACACGTTTTAATGAAAAAACTTAAAATAACTACATAAAATCTTCAGTAGACTCGCAACTAAGAGAGTGGATCACATCACAGTTCTGAGGTCTTTACACTGGCTTCCTGTCTGTCAAAGAATTGACAATTCATATTTTACACTGCACATCATTTTAGAATTGTATATCTGTCTTATTCTATTATAGCTTGTTTTAGTTTTATATTATTCGTTACACTTTTTTTTTGGCCACCTGTGTCTTTTTTCGAGTGACAGAGTTGAAAGGGGGGAATGACACATACCTGGGCCAGATGCAAACCCTGGTCCTCCGTTTGGGGACCAAGCCCCGGTACGTGGGCTGTGAGCACTACCAAATGAGCTACATGACAGCCCTTCTCTTTGCTATTTAATGACTTATTTTCAATGTCATTTAATAATGTGATTCCGTTGCACTATAAATTAATGCTGTAATGTCTTTCATTTTTGTAAAGCACTTTGCATTGCATTTTGTTGAAAGGGGCTTTATAAAGAAACTTGCCTTGTCTTGACTAAAACATGAGGGGATACCTGGGTCCAACTCACAGTGAGGGAGTAAGCAGCCAATCAGCTGATGCAGAGAAGTGTTGAAGTGTTTGGTTTAACCATGTCCTGGTTTTAAGAAGGACCGGATCCCTTCACATCACGGTAAGCAGTGAGCTGATTCGGGCGTTCACTTGCAGCCAGTGAAGGGAGCGGTGGAGTGGTGTAGGGTGGGAGAACTTAGGGAGGTTGAAACAAGACGATCTGCTGCATTCTGTAATAACTGAAATTCTTTATTATATTTCACATTTTAAGTTTAAGTCTCATTACTGAGAGGTTTCAGTAATGATCCCACAGAAACGTATTCTTTATCTCCCCTCAGTATTTTAATCCTCTTTCAGTCCATGTTTTCACGTTCACTGCTCTCATCAGCTTTGTTACCAGGCAGCTGTGTTCAGTCATAAAGACACTGTAGCCTCCAACAGCAGAGAGAGACACATGTAGAAACTGGTGAACATAGTGCAGCATTGAGCAGCTAAAGAGAGATATTTCTCTCTGTTGTTTGCAGATAAAAAACAGCTAAATGTACAATGCACAAACAGAGGACTCCAGATGAAGGGTCCTGTTGCTCCTTTCAACTTGGAGGCATAGTATAAAAAGCTGTTTGCCATAACGAATGAATGACGTAATACTATTTCAGTGCTTTTGTGGGTCCTATATATTTCTATTTGTGTATCAAATCAAATCAAGTTTTATTTATATAGCACATTTATAAACGATTTTTGGTCGAGCCAAAGTGCTGTACATATAATAAAAATAGCCACTAGACACAATAGACACTTACAGCAAATACAACAGCACAGATTGTTCAGAATATCAGTATGAGAAAAACGACACCCTCTATCCTTAGACCCTCACATCGTACAAGGAAAAACTTCCAGAGAAAACCCACAGGTTAAGGGGAAAAAATGGGAGAAACCTCAGGGAGAGCAACAGAGGAGGGATCCCTCTCCCAGGACGGACAGACGTGCAATAGATGCCGTGTGTAAATCGAAGAGATAATACATTTTACAGCATATAGACCGAATGTTAGGAAATGCATGTGTCTGTAATAAGAAAATGTCAACTGTGGGAGCCTTCAGGGAAGCAGCATGACGAGACCCAAGGCAGGACCGCAGAGACAGGTTCAGCCACGACCTGAAGTCCACGACTTAATCCAGAACTCAGGATAGAGGATCCAGGACACAGGACCACAGAAGATCAGCCTCGACTCCGGATCCCGGCGTAGATATAGACACAAAACAAGAAAACATTTGGCTGGGTTAATCAAAACAAGAGAATACACAGACACAGACAGACAGACGGAAGAACAAGCACTCCCTTAGAATAGGTTGAGGACAAAGGGTAGCAAGTAAGAGAGTAAGAAACATAGGTGGAGAGGCACACTCAGGGAACAAAGTCCCCACTGGAGCCTTAGTTGGAAATTGATGAGAGATAGTGAGATACGCTGTGTCTACGAATCGTAACACTCCCCGGCCTGTCTAAGCCACTCTACAAACCGTTTCCCTCTAATAAAACCTTGAAAGGTTAGAGAGGGAAAAGTTCCTGGATACAAGTTATTCTTGATAAGAGAAGCCTAGAAGGCCAGAGAGAAAAAGTGAGTTTTAAGTGTTGATTTAAAAACCCCCAGGGTCTGGGCCGACCTCACATGGAGGGGCAAAATGTTCCAGAGCCTGGGGCCTGCTGCTGCGAATGCTCGGTACCCTCTGGTTTTGAGCCTGGTCTTAGGCACTATCAGCAGCAGCTGATCAGCCGACCTTAAGGCTCTGCCTGGGGTGTAGCGATGGAGGAGTTCGGCTACATAGGCCGGAGCCAGCTTTAGGGCTTTGAAAACAAATAAAAGGAGTTTAAAATCTATTCTGAACCGAACTGGAAGCCAGTGCAATGAGGCCAGAATTGGGGTGATGTGGTCACGCTTTTTATGGCCAGTTAGAAGACGTGCAGCTACGTTCTGCACTAGCTGCAGGCGTCTAATTGAGGCCTGGTCCATACCCACATACAGAGCGTTGCAGTAATCCAGTCTCGAGGTAACAAAGGCGGTATATGGAGATTGAGCGTAAATATCATGCATATATTACTCTTTCTGTCCACAGGGTCTAGATAACATGGAGCTGTCCCCCCCCCCGTCATGTCTAAAGGCAGAATATGAGACCATTTTCACCACAGACTCCCTCCTCTTCCTCCATGAGCTGATCTCCACATTTGATGAGGAGGTTGATCAGGTAAGACAGATAAAAAAAGTGTATTTGTTCACGCATTAAAGACTCAGATCTCAGGATATGGCGTCGACACTCTGTTTCAGGTTCTAAAACTACGAGTGTCCAGAAAGGCCCATTTGGACCTGTCAGGTGACCTGCCGAGCTTTCTGGAGAGTAGCTCACATATCAGGAGGGACCCAGCCTGGAGAGTGCTCCCCGTCCCCCCAAGGCTCCAGAGGAGACACGTGGACATCGGGGACCTGGCCCCCTGTGATACCCAACGCTTCATTCAAGCTCTGCAGTCACCTGCACAAGGCATACAGGTAGCATCTCTATCACTCACCTGTGGCCTTACTAACAAACATGAGGCTAATGTGAAAATATTTTTTTAATTTATAATCTCAATTCAAGTCTTATCAGAGTTAAATATGTAAGTAAGTATTCTATGCTATCCTTTCATTCCAGTTAGGCATCTGGTGATCACACCAACAACATTCTGCAGTCAGAAGTATTCACTAAAACACAACATGTGTACTGGCTGCCAAAATAGTCCCCAACAAATGCATTTTTTCCTCCACAGAAATAATATTTCCACAGAAATTCACAGTGAGACGATGCTAAAGGACCACAATGATGTGCTCCACAATCGCTCTTTTGTCTGACAAACTCAAGCAATGAAAGAATCCCTTCATATTTTTTAAAGTCTCAACAGATCATTATCCACCTACAGTCATGAGCTATTGATGGGAGTCTGATTAAGTGCTTAAAGTGGGCCAGTACTCACCTGTACACAGTAGGCCTATCGGCATATCCACATTTTAATCTTTGGAGTACCGTGAATTCTATTTGTGTACCGTCACTTCCCACAGGCTGCCCGTACTCTACTCAGCCTTCTCAAATCATGTTCAGATGATCGTTTAACAACTAAAGGAAAAAACTGCTTTACCCAGGGAGCAATGCTTCCCAGCGGATACTAAAACCCGCTGACGCATTACGTTGGCCTCAGGTGCTACATTAGCATACCTTACGACCTTAACTACATCCTCTACTATAGTCGGTTTGATGGCAGGGACATCAAACGTGTGCGTACAAGGTAGCTTTGTGTGTGGCTACGAAGTGCGTCAATTAAAAAAGCTGCCACACTTTTATAGACTGTTGCTGATGCTGCAATGGGGCTTATATTTTTTCTACACCTGTATTTGCGACTTTCATGTGTTTCTATTCTGCTGTTTAAGTGGCAGGTAACTTGTATTCATGTAGCCTTATGCTTAGTGTACACTGGTTAATTATAGTTACTCTACTCAGGAATGCATATTTTGAGAATTTTATATCAGTGGTAGGCCCCAGGCCTTCTCAAAATGAACAGGTCTAAATAAAATATATGCACATAGTTCTGTCAAATAAACTGTTTGGCGGATACAGTTCATTTGTATTCCAAGGTAGTTTTATTAACTCTTCAACAACATCGTGACATCCTTACACGTGTGCACATAACTCTCACAACCAACCTTGTTTCCAGTGGCGAACCGTGTCTATCACAACTGGACCTTCTGTAGACACACACACACACCTTCTTTTTATAATCTACTAAAATGCAACAAAAAAAGGGTTTGATTCTATTAATTTTGTCTTTTTTATTGCACTTTGGCAGCAGATTCCTGTGTAGCTTCAGATCTGAGTTGTCTTATTAGTAAGCCTCATTTATACTTTTGTAGCAACACTATTTTTATATAATGGCAAAGAAAGGGTTCAGAGTCTTTTCTTTTTCCCGTGTCATATGTGGCAGCACTGTTCAATGTTTCTTGAAAACATTACCCACTGTAGTATGTGACGTGTGAATAAACTCCAACTCTGTATCAACAACACTGTTGTGTAACTTCAGTTAAATACTTGTATGTGTGTAGATTAGAAAGAGGTAAGATAAAGGATCTGCAGTATTTTATGAAGTATTAATCGTACAAAGGTCAGTTTTATACAAGTAGAAGTGTGTATTTACCTGGTAGGCTGTCAGTAATGGCTACGCCTCTCTATTTGGACTGGTAGATCTCGGCAGACTGGCAACTTTAAAAGTAGCTCTCGGTTCAAAAAAGGTTGGGCACCCCTGGGTTACACCATATGTCTGTCTATTGCCAATACCTTGACATCTCCCCCTCAAATTATCCTCTCTCTAGGTCAGGGGTGTCAAACTTAATTTAATTGCGGGCCACATCAGCATTAAGGTTGCACTCAAAGGGCCGGTTGTAACTTTAAGACTATATACATTTACATATATATATATAAAATAATGTTTCATATTACATTATTACCTCTGCATTAGATTATTATCGGAGAGGGTAATAACTTCATAATTAACTACGTCTGAGAGCAGAAATCTAGGGCAAATAATTTCAAATAATTGCAAGTCTCTTCAATGTGCATGTCACAAAATGAGATGCATTGTGGGACATGTAGTCTATGGGCAACATGCTTCTGTAAAGTGGCATGAAACCGTATAATAAACGTATAATATTTTTTGCAAGCTCTTGCGGGCCAAATAAAATGAAGTCGGGGGCCGGATTTGGCCCACAGGCCTTGAGTTTGACACCCCTGCTCTAGGTCATCAAGTCCCAAACACACCTTGCTCTAGATTTTAATTCTGAGCTTTAATATATATATTTTGATATATATATCTTAGTACACACATTTTAAGGAATCAAATACAAGTAACCATAACATTTCCTTTCTCAACTTACTGTCAGTAAATTAATAGTTTAACTCTAGCCTGACTACAGGTTTGCTGACTCTCCCAAACCTTGTCACTGTCAGACCTTCCTGTGTGTTCCTATTGAGTCCATCACTCGCACACAGTTCCTGACTGGAGCCATGGTGTTGTGTATTAGCTCCTACTGGCTCTGTGCTCGCTTTTACAGTCTCTGTGACAGCTAGTCCTGACGGTATCAGTTGAAGATGTCTCCTGTTCCTTCTCATCTCTCCCCCCCTCGGTGATTG